GTAGTCCATGGTGCTAAGCAAAAGGGTGAAGAGCACATTCGCGCCAAGACTTCAAGGGTCATTAAGGACCCACAAGGAAATGAGGCGACTCGTAAAGTCGCCGAGTTATCCCACAACGAGATTTGGTAACCGACTGCGCTTTAAAAAGAAAAAGGGCACGCAAGGACACCTTCAGCATTAAAAATAACACAAAAAGGGCACAACAATGCCGAACCTCAGGTAAGACATGAAGTCTTACTAAGAATTTCATCCACTAAAGAGAAGATGAAATTCAATAAGAAAAGAAATTCAGCCAAAGTCCATCGACTCCCAAGAGACTTTGGGAAGAATTTGGGAAGTGCGCCCTAAGAGATTGGCTTGGTTGACTCAACTTGGTCAAGACCTTGGGCGCATTAAAGAAGTAAGTGTTGAATCACCACGGGAAATTCCCTCAAGAGAGAAGAGAAGGATGAAACCGTAGCCTGGGAACCAAGGTTTAACAAGGATCTTAAAGTCAAGCAAGTACCAACACCAAGGAAGGAGGATCATCAGCTCGTCGACGCATCGTGATCAAAGCATCTAACCAGATTATTCACTTGGGATTGAGAAACCTTAACCCATCCTAGCCGAATTCCTTTCCCTCCCTCGGAAAATCGGCCCCCTCCTTATTTCAAAACCCTTTCTACCCTTCAGACCCCATTCTTAATCCCATGTTTTAACGATTCCATACAAGTGACAACCTCACAACCTAAGTTGCAACCTTGAAAACTTGATCCTAATTCCTGAATTCACCGTGCCCTCAAGTTTGAAACCCACTCTCTTGGCCCTGTAAACCTAATCGTCCCCAAAAAAACCCAACACGCATAGGAGTACAAGTATACAATTTCCCCGTGGAATACCTTCTCTATAGGACCACGGTTCTACTCTTGACTCGTTAACCCTGCAATGATTTCCAAGCTTCGGGGACGAAGCTTCTCGTAAGGGGGGGAGAGTGTAACACCCCGTGTTACGGCCTTCAATCCCGGATTAATTATTTAATTAATCCCGTTAATAATAATTAAATATGATTTAATTATGTTAGGTTCACCTTTAATTAATTAGTAAGGTCCACCATGAACCGTGGACCCTTGCCCGAATAAGAGTCTTAAGTCTGTTAGGAATAATGGAAGTAGGCCTTTTACTATTCAGATTATGATTAGGATCCTCTTTAATTAATATGGTCCACTATGGACCGTGGACCATTATCCCTAAAACAAACCCTAGCCCTATAAGGAATAGAATTAGTAAACACATACCATTCAGGCCCTAACTAGGAGACTTAAATATATAAATAGGGAACTTAGGAGGCACCTAGAATCCCCACCACAATAATCTCTCACCACCCAAAGAGTTCCAAGAATCCCCTTAGGAGAAATCAAGAAATCAAGAAAGCTTAAAGAAAGATCCTTCATAGCCAAGGAATTAATTAAGGCTAAGAGGTAACCCATGTCTCAACAAAACCTATTTTCATAGCTATGACTCCCCCTTAGGGTTTCCCCCGTATTATTGTGATTGGCGAAATATGATGATGATTATTAATGTTTGATGTGATGATCCCATGAGGGATCTTGATAATCTTGATATTGGGAGATTCTTGATAATTATGGTGTTCTTGATGATTATATGGAATTCTTGATAATTATGTGTTGTTCTTGATAATTGTGTGACGTTCTTGATGCTTATGTGTTATCCTTACCGAATCTTGCAATTAGAAGGCGAATCGTATTCTTATTGACATAAAAGTGATTAGAACCCTAGGTTGTATCGTATGTTATGATTCTTGGATTGTGGGGTGGGGAAATCGCATGTTTGGGTGTTGATTATGTTTAGAAAAGCATGATAGGTTATGTGCCGTTCGTTTCTCGTATTTGATCTGTCAATTGTCTACGTGTTGTCATTAATTACGTTGTAAAGTGTCTAAGCATGGTTTCGGGTTCCACAACGGTTCCCGGGGCGTATTGTGTGATAAGAGTCAGTGGGGGGTAGGTGGGGGGTAGGGGACCCGCTACCTACCCACGGCCGAGAACACCTTCCCGGCAGCGGGCAGCCGGCGGGTGGGCAGCTGCCCGCCGGCGACCCGCTGCCCGGAACAGTAATTCCGGCGGGCAGCCGGCGGGTGGCCCCCCACCCACCGGCTACCCGCTGGAAATTATCCCACCTTGGGATCCCGGCTTCCCCGTTTGATGTTCTCCCGTTCCCCGTGGTGTCCCAACGGACTCCGTTTATCGTGCCTATGTCTAGTTTGATGTTTCGGGTACCGTTCGTAGGTTTATGAGTCTATTATATTGCATGCTAGTTAAATTGGTATCCCGTTGACCTAGGTGGAAGGAGTATGAACCCCTTAGGACTATTCTTAGTATGTGACGGATCACGCATAGGTTTTGTTATGCGCTTTCTCCCCCTTCCCAATGTGTAATATGGGTTGCATGTGCTTGCTATGTGTTACGTGTGTGTTACCCCAATTCGGTTGCGATCGGATTGGTTATCCTGAGCTGCGGTTCAGAAGCTGGCTGCGGTCAGATTGATACTCTTGGGCTGCGGTCCACCGTTTGGTTGCGATCAAACGTTTCTATACGAGCTGCGGTTCGTCCTTTTTCCTGGCTGCGGTCAGATGACATTCTCTTGGGCTGCGGTCCACTGTTTGGTTGCGATCAAACACTATGATGAGCTGCGGTTCATCGGTCGGTTGCGATCGACCCCTCCGTGTTGCGATACGGGGCAGGGTGCTGCGGGGCCGTGTTAGAGCTATATGCGCTGACCCTCATGTATGGGCATGCGATTGGTCCTGTGGCGCCAACAAAGTGTGTTATGTGTGGTGACATGGACGAGTTGGGATTACGAGCGTCTTGGGTGATGTGACTATGGGATTTATATTGGGGATTGTTCATGTTGGGTTATGATCATTGTTTATGCTTTGCCTTATCTGCCTTATCTGTTGTGAACTGCATATGCTTATTATAACTGTTGCTTGTGTCTGGCCTTATCTGTCGAGTCATTCCCGGTTTTAAAACTAGAGTTCGTAGGATATATCTTCATGCTCAAAATGGTTTTCGTATATCTATATATATCTCTATATGTATTGTATTTCAACGCGTTGGAGTGGGTTACCAGCATCTCTCGCTGAACAGATATATTTGGCTTTCAGGCAGAAGATTAAGTCACTGGAGCGCGCTAGAACTTGGAGTGTAGAAGTAGATAGTCTCCCTTTCGGCCTGCGTGCCACGTTTATGTAATCACACTTCAAGGATATTAGTTAGTTAGCCTGTGCACTTGGGTTCTCTAGCCCAGGTGTGGCATAGCACCCCGAACGGTTGTATTATATCTTGGGATTTAATAAGATTCTACCTTTATTATAAGTTTTAAAAAAGTCTTGAAAATCTGGGGTGTTACATGATGTGTGTAGTCACAAAGGCATGTGTTGCCATTGGTCTTGTCTTTATCCTTTTGAGTTGTTGTTGTCCTTGTGGTCTTGGGATGTGTTCCAGTGTTCTTGTTGAGAGTGTTAAATCTTGTGTTGACGATTACTCTTGGCTTTGCACTTATATATCTATGTATTCTGTTTCGAAAATGGCTTTACAAATGTATATCTTACCTATGTATGTTATTTCACATGTATTGGTGGGTTACCAGCATTATTCGCTGACCGGGCGTCGTCCTATGTTTATTGTGTTCTTTCAGGTGATGTCTAGACGAGTGCGCGGTCTAGTGCTTGCTAGTATAGCTTCTCCCTTACGTTTTGTGGCCTGTGAGCCAGCTTAGATGTAGAACGATGAGATATTTGGTTTAGATTTAAACATTGCAAATGTTACCTGTGCGTTCATCCCTTTGGTGAACGTGGCATAGCACCCCGTATTCCAATTTATTTATATCTATCTATCTTTCAGTCTTCCGCTGTGTTAGTGGTTTGGTTTAGTTATCTGCATGTTTAAGGTTTTAAATGGCACGTTTTTAGGTGGTGTTACATGCACTCTCATGAAAAGAATGCAAAAGCAGAGGGAAGAAGACAATATAATTAGGTTTTTGGAAGGTTTGAATGACGACTATGAGCCTATCAAGTCTGGAATTCTGGTTATGGATCCCAGTCCAGACATGGAAAAGGTGTTGAATATGACCCTAAAGCTTGAAAGGAAAATTAGGGGATCAATGATGTTGAAATGCAGTGAAATTAATCAATCCAATGCAGTTTTTAATAATTAGAATCAAAATCAAGTTGAATTAGAAGAATCTATTGTGGCAGTCACAGCATCAAACAACAGAAGGAAGTTCACTAATAATGGAGGCAAGAATGTTCCTAAGTGTACCTTTTGTGGCATGCTTGGTCACACAATTGAGAAATGCTATAAGAAGCATGGATACCCTCCAGGATGGGTTGCAGGCTACAAATCTAAAAACAAACAGCTCCAAGAAACACATCAGTCATCAAATGCTTTTGTGAGTCAGATAAATGATATAGGTATGTCTACTGACCAATTGGTTGTAGATGGGTATACAAAGTAAAGCATAAGGCAGATGGCACCATAGAGAGATATAAAGCCAGATTGGTTGCTAAGGGATACACTCAGCAGTCAGGAGTTGATTACATTGATACTTTTTCTCCTGTAGAAAGATTGACAACCATCAAAACTTTCCTAGCTGTGGCTGTTGCAAAGGGCTGGGATATTCAACAGCTTGACATGAACAATGCCTTCCTACATGGTGACTTGAATGAAGAAGTTTATATGGTTTTGCCCCCAGGCTTTAAGAGTGCTAAGCCCAATCAAGTGTGTAAGTTGTTAAGGTCCCTATATGGTTTAAAACAGGCTAGCATGCAATGGAATGCAAAGTTAACCAAAGCTTTGCAGGCTCATGGTTTTCAACAGTCCATAGCTGATCCATCTTTGTTCACTAAATCTTTAGATAATTCCTTTATTGCCTTACTTGTGTATGTTGATGATAGATTGGTGGCAGGCACAGATCCTGATCAGATCAAAGGATTGTAGCATATGCTAGATACTTCCTTCAAGATTAAAGATCTTGGCAACCTGAATTATTTTCTGGGAATTGAAGCATTCAAAAATCCTAATGGCATTAGTCTCCATCAAAGGAAATATACTTTGGAAATCTTGAAAGAAAATGGTTTCTTTGATGCTAAACCTGCTAAAACTCCCTGCACTCCAAGCTTAAGGCTCAATAATACTGAAGGCACACTTCTGGACAATCCTAAAATCTTCAGAAGGTTAGTTGGGAAGCTAGTCTATTTAACGAACACAAGGGCTGACATCTCTTATAGTGTTCAGCAACTCAGCCAGTTTGTTGACAAGCCAAGAGACTCACATCTAACAGCAGCACACAGTATATTGAGGTATCTTAAAGGTTCTACTGGAAAAGGACTCTTCTATTCCTCAAAATCCAGCCTTAAATTTCAAGGTTTTTCTGATTCAGACTGGGCTACCTGCACAGAAACTAGGAAGTCTATAACAAGCTAATGTATCTACCTTGGGGAGTCTCTTATATCTTGAAAGACAAATAAGCAAGCCACTGTGTCCAGGTCCTCCTCTGAAGCAGAATATAGGGCTTTGGCTTCAACTGTTTGAGAGCTTCAGTGGCTACTATACTTATTGACAGATCTGAAAACCGAGAACAAAAACCCTATTGCCCTATTTTGTGATAACAAATCAGCTGTAGGTATAGGGGAAAACTATGTGTTCCATGGACGTACTAAACACATTGACATTGATTTTCATGTAGTAAGTCAAAAGGTGGAAGAAGGAATGGTGAAACTGGTGAGCATTCCTTCAAATAAACAACTAGTAGATGGATTCACTAAGGCTTTGTCCATCCCTTTGTTTGATTTCTTTCATGCTAAGCTGGGCCTTCAGGATCTTCATGCTCCATCTTACGGGGGGGGGGGGGGGGGGGTGATGAACATAGCAGATGCACACACAACAGAACAACTAGCTTGAGTCATCTTCTTCTTAAGAGCATTTGTGTCCTTTCACCATCAGTTAGTTATAACTGATTTTTCCCCAACAGCTTTAGTTTAAATACTTTGTTTTCCCTCCTCTTCTTTCTGTAACAAATACAACACTATTCTCTGTAACCAAAAGCTTCTCAATAAAACTGCATCTTTCCTTCCTCTTTAATGTGATGATTCATAGCTCAACAGTTGTTCGTGTTCGTTTGTTAAGGTTTTTGGAATGTTCGTGTTCGTGTTCGTTTGTTAAGATTTTTGAAAATCTTGTTCTTCTTCGTTTGTTAAGCGTTCATTAGTGTTTGATAACATTCGCGAACGTGTTCGTTAATGTTAGTGAACACGTTCACAAACATGTTTGTTAACAAGCACGTTCACGAACGTGTTCGTTAACATTAATGAACACGTAGGCGGAGATGTTCGTACATGTTCATAAACATGTTCGTGAACGCTTAATAACCAAATACATACATATATTCATGATCACAATTTGTTCATGAATAATAAATAATCTATGCTCACGAACAATAACCAAACAAGAAACACAACTACAAAACAAATACAAATAATTGGATAAGTCCAATCGTAACATCTAATATCAAAATGAAAATACAAGTCTTCTAAAAAAAACATACACACACAAATTGTTTGTTCACATTACAAGCCAAACACATAAAACTTAAAACATATAAGATATTTTTAGATTCGGCATCCACCATCCAGAAAAGCTTAATATCTTCAACTCCAAGTTCATTCCAACCTTAATATATATATATATATATATATATATATATATATATATATATATATATATATATATGTATATATATATATATATATTTAACTGCTTGTTTGTGAACATGTTCGTGAACATTATTAACGAACACTAAACAAGCTTCTTCGTGAAAATTATTAAACGAATACTAAACGAACTTGTTCATGAATAATATCAAACAAACACAAACGAGCTTGTTCACGAGCTCTTAACAAACGAGCTTACAGAAGTTCAGATTGTTTGTTTATCAACCGAGCTCTAAAATTTGTTCATCTATATTCGTTTATCTTAATAAACGAACGCTTACCGAACCGGAACACGAACATGAGTAGTTTATCGAAAGATTTATTCGCTAACACCTCTATTTGGGACAAGAGTCAAGGTCTGGGTGGGGACGTCGTGACTATATTTTACAATATCTGTACTATTATTAAAAACAAAATCCTCATTTTTAACTTCCTGTCCAAACACTTAATAATAATAAAAATAATAATAATAATAATAATAATAATAAAATAATAATAAAAATAATAATAATAATAATAATAATAATAGTAATAATAATAATAATAATAATAATAATAATAATAATAATAATAATAATAATAATAATAATAATAAGATTTGCAGTCAAAAATGAAAAATGGAATAGAATCAGTTATTCACTGAATAATAATAATAAGGTTAGTAGTAAAAAAAAGAAAAATATAAAAAAAAAAATCTGTATTTCATTTAATAATAACAATAAGGTTAGCAGTAAAAAAGGAAAATGGAAAAGGATCCATAAGTCACTTAATAATCTATACTATTAGAGTTTATCGCACTTTTGGTTCCACGACTATAGTGGCATGATCGGGATTGATCCACGACTTTCAAACCTAGCAATCTCGGTCCACGACTATTGTTTTTTTGTTTTTTTTGTTTTTTTTTTTTTTTTGCAAAAATGGTCTTTCCGGCTTATTTTCCAGCTCGTTTTTGTAGGAAATGGTTCTTACTCTGGTGAGAAATTGACGAAAATAGACCGGAAGGACCATTTTTACAAAAAAAAAAAAAAAGTCGTGGACCGAGATCGCAATGTTTGAAAGTTGTTGATCAATCATGATAGTGCCACTATAATCGTGGGACCAAAAGTGCGATAAACTTTATACTATTATTAAAAACAAAATTCTCCTTTTTAACTTCCCACTGAAATACTTATAATAATAATAATAAGGTTAACAGTAAAAAAGGGAAAATGGAATAAGATCGGTAATTCACTGAATAATAATAAGGTTAGCATAAAAAAGGAAATAATGAAAAAAAAATCGTAATTCACTTAATAATAATAATAAGGTTAGCAGTAAAAATTAAAAAATGAAAAAAGATCTGTAAGTCACTTAATAATAATAATAATAATAATAATAATAATAATAATAATAATAATAATAATAATAATAATAATAATAATAATAATAATAATAATAATAATAATAATAAGAAGAAGAAGAAGAAGGTTAGTAGTGAAGAAAAGAAAAATGGAAAAGGATCCGGAATTCACTTAATAATAATAATAATAATAATAATAATAATAATAATAATAATAATAATAATAACAATAACAATAACAATAACAATAACAATAACAATAACAATAACAATAACAATAACAATAATAACAATAATAATAATAATAATAATAATAATAATAATAATAATAATAATAATAATAATAATAATAAGGTTAGCAGTGTAAAAGGAAAATGGAAAATGGAAAAGGATCCGTAAGGAGGTGGAGGAGGATAGCAGTAAAAAAAGGAAAGAAAACGGAAAAATGGAAATGGATCTAGTATTTAAGAAGCCATAATGTTCAGCATTATTCGCTGGCGGTTGTTATACCAAATGTTTTTTCAGGTGACAAGCTTTAGCTTCGGAGCGCGCTAGTCAGAGTCTTGGACTTAACTTAGTTAGTCTTAGCTCAGTAGTTGGCTTGCGTGCCTTGGGATTGTATTGAATATTGATTTGAGGATTTCTTATGCTTAGTTAGTTTAGCCTGTGCACCTAGGTTCTCAAACCTAGGTGTGGCGTAGCACCCCGACTCTTATAGATAGTTCTATGCTCTGTTTGGGATTCAATCAATGGATTCGCCTGCATTTTATAAGTTTGAATTATCTTGAAATTTAGGGGTGTTACACCCTCGGCACCGCCTAAGGAGACACTCTCCCATCCCTTTGGCAATGCCATATACCACTCGAGGCACACTCGGTGATCTACCATGCAAGCATGCGTTCCTGTGTTTCCATAACTCTCAAAGGATGAGATAAGGTAACCCGCAAACAACAAAGGCAACAAGCTGGTTATGTGAAACCACCCGCCTCCACCCAGTGAATAGCGTCCGTAGACCACGATGGCTGAATCGCAGGCCGAGTGATCCCCATAAAAAATCCCCATACAGCCCTAGCAGTATCCCCCGTATAAAAGATTTGATCAACGGTTTCCGTAACCGGGTTAGTGCAGCACCAGCACCTGGAGTCCATATGGTACCCGAATCTAGCCATAACATCATCAGTGGGCAATCGACCACGTAAAACACGCCAAGCAAGAAATGACACCTTAAAGGGCAGATGCTTACGACAACAATGAATCAAAAGAGGATCAGAAATCACAAGTTCAGGTCTTAACAAAGATTTTGCAGAGGAGAAAGAGAATAAACCGTCCGCAGCTACCCGCCAAATAAGAATGTGAGCCACTCATTGGCCCAAACAGGACATGTCCGCCTCCAACCCGGCTGGCAGAAGGTCATCATAAGCCGACAATTCCAATTCCCCGTCCTTAATGTAGTCAGATAGTAAATCACCAGAGTACTCAACCCCTGGGAAGGGGTAAAAACGCCCTAGTGGGCCAAGTCCAGACCAGTTATCCCACCAGAGGTTAACATCACCGTGAGTCAAGCGCCACCCCAAGACTGCCTCCACCTCATTCCTGACGCTGAGCATGCGCTTCCAAGTGTGTGAATCAGAACTTCGCACTAATTTTTCCACCGGGTGAACATAACTGTAGTACTTAGCGCTCATGAAACTTCCCCACAGTGAATACACCTTGCGAGAATTCCACCAAAGCTTTGCACTCGATGCACGTACCATCAGGTCAAGGTCAAGGAAACCCACACCACCCTCTTTTTTTTTAGGAAGGGAGAGTGTGACACCCCGTAATCCATATTCAATTAATGGATTAATTAAGTAATTAATCCTAATCCAATTGATAATTTAGTTCCTTAAATTCCTGAAAATTCAATAGTTGGGGACTAGTAATTGACTAGTCAACCCAAAGTCAAATGTTGTACCTAAAGCTTTGTGAGTGGTTCCCTTGTTCCCTTACACCTCTTCATTTTAGTAAGGGTAATAAATACATTTCACCCTATGTTAGAATTGCAAGTTAACCTTGAGGACACTCCTCATTCTTTCCCCTTACACTTTCTAAACTTGAGCTCCTCCTTCTCTCTAAAAGTTAGATAGCTTTTCTTCCAAGCCAAGTTGGAGCTTTACCAAATCCTCAAAGTTTGTCTTCAAGATTCCACCTTTCCTACCTTTGAGCATCTAGGAGGGTAATATCTATGTTTATCTTGTGTTTTTAGTGTTTTCTAAGGTGTCTTTCCTTAAAGATAGTATCTTTATGATCTGTTGGTGTGTTCTTGAAGTGGGTGTGGAAGGTGAGCCCTATTAGGAGCTTGGTGAAGTGTTAAGTGAAGGTTTTTGTCTACAAGA